ACACACACACACACACACACACACACACACACACACACACACACCCAAAATCCAACCAACAACCACATTTGCCACAGATCTTCCTTCCTTCCTTCCTTCCTTCCTTCCTTCCTTCCTTCCTTCCTACCTACCTTCCTTCCTTCCTTCCCTCCCCTCCCCCCATGTCTGTCTGTCTGTCTCTGTCTCTGTCTGTCTCTGTCTCTGTCTCTGTTTCTCTCTCTGTCTCTGTCTCTCTGTCTCTTGCTGGCTTGTTTGCTTGCTTTTGCTGGGCCTGGGCCTGGACTCTGGGCCCGGACACTGTCCCTAAGCTCCTTTTGGTTCAAGGCTGGCACTTGATCACTTGATCTACAGTATCACATCCATCTTTTTCTGAGATTAATTGGAGATAAGAGTCTCATAGACTTTCTGCCTGGGCTGGCTTCTAAGCATGATCTTCGAATCTTAACCTTCTGAGTAGCTAGGACTACAAGCATGAGCCACTGGGTATCTGGCCACAGATGTACAGAAGGGTTACAGTTATATAAGTAAGGTAATAAGTACATTTCTTGTCAAACTTGTTACCCCTTTCCTCAGGGGTCAGACCTGTATCTGAAATAATATGCATAGAGAAAGAGCAATATGGTCACTCATGAGTTACTTCTAAACATAGAATATTAACTCTATGATTTGATAGTTGCTGTAGGTATGAACGAAGCAAGTCAATTCTGATTGATTTGCTTAGCAGAAACCTGAGCTCTTGTCCAATTTTAACAGTGAAATGTGGAAGTATCTTCCATTTGTGTAGCTTCCATTTATGTAGCTTATGGTTTGCAAAATATGTTCTTAGGCATTGTTCTGATACTCAGAAACCTGTGGACTGGGGCAAAAACATTTGCAAAAGAGGAAAACTTAGGCTCAGAGAGGTAAAGTGCCTTGTCATAGCTAGTTGGTGTTGGAACTGAGTTTTGAATACCAGTCTAGTGCTTTCCTGAGAACATTGTTTACTTCTCACTTCTATCTTAGACTCATAAAATAAAACATGCTTAAGTTAGGCTTGTCATCAGTGGCTCACATCTGTAATCCTAGCTCTTCAGGAGACTGAGATCTGAGGATTGCAGTTCAAAGCCAGCCCAGGCAGGAATGTCTGTGAGACTATTTCCAATTAACCAGCAAAAAGCCAGAAGTGGAGCTGTGGTTCAAGTTGTAGAGCGCTAGCCTTGAGCAAAGACACTGAAGGACGGTTTCCCAGCCCTGAGTTCAAGGCTCAGAACTGGCACACACACAAAAATGTCTAAGTTGTGTTTAAGTTGAATAATTGAAGACAATAATACAAAGTTGGTTTAGTAGATAATGTTTATTGAGTGCCTATACTCTGCAGATTGGAGAAGGGGCTGCTACAGTTGGGTGGTCTGAGTACTGTCCTCATGCATGTGGAATAAATGGCAGCGTCCTTTATGAAAGCACTTCTGAAGAGGGCAGTTGTGTATCAGATTTTGAAGAATATGATTGAGGGGAGAGGACTAAAGGAAAGACTTTGGGCCAAGTGCAGAGGCATGGTGGTGAGAAAAGAGAGTTATAGAGAAAGTCCAGTTAGTACAAAATAGGAAACAGAAAAGAGGACTTGTTTATGGTTTGTTGCCAATCTACTCTATGTAAGTTATGGCATAGACCTGGGAGTATGTTGGTGAGCAAAGATGATAGTGGTTTTTGTTTCTGTTGCTCATTCAGGCTTTGGAAGGAGAAATTATGTATTGGCTGCTCATAATAGAATACTTCCACAAAATTTCAGATTGTGAATTACTCTAAAGGGAAAGGACAGGATCCTATGAGTGTATGTATAGTACAGTGATATAAATTAGAGTGACTTTTGGGCTGGTAGTTGAAGCTGCAAGAGTTAAGGTGGAAAAACAGTTTTGGTGTCGGGAACAGAAAAAAAAGAATGCTCAGAAAAAAATGGTGGGACATATACAAAGGCCCTGGGAAGTATTAAAGTAATTAATAAAAAAGCCCGTGTGAAAAAATTATATTAAGTGAAGTAAGCCAGGCCCAAATTAAAATAGGTCCCATGGTTTCCCTTATTTGTAATAACTAGTATATGCCTAAGACAAGCAGAAAAGGTCAAAAGCTATGTACATATAACCATATAAGCAAAATGAACTCAAGATAGGGACACAAATAGTTTTTTTTTCTTTCTTGCTATTGTTTTTAATGTACTTATAATGTACTATGTGATTTTTTTTTAGTTTCTTTTGTATGCTCTTTCCCCATGGTATAATTCCCATTTTTGCTGTATTTGATTCTGGTGTCCTGCATCTTGTATATACATTTTTATAATTTGGGGAGGGGAAGGAAAATAACAAAATGCTTAAATAAGGATACAGATTGACCCATTGTAACAATGAGATGTACAAGACACTGTGTTGAAAATGAACTTCACAATTTCAGGGGTGGGGAAGGAGGAGATGGGGAGGTGGGGAGGGAAGAGATGGTAGGGGAAAAACAAAGGAAGAGGTACCAGTGCTATAGGACATATACTCATTACCCTACTCATGTAACTGTAACCCTTCTGTACAGTATTTTTACAATAAAAATATATATGACAAAAAAGGACCGTGTGTAGGAATTGTAAGAGTAAAAGGGTGGTTTGACATGAGACTGGGAAAGGGACACATACTTGATCAGACTTTATTCTTATTCTAAGAGCTGTGGGCAGCTTCTGGTGTATTTAAAGCAAAGAGTGCATACTTAGAACATTATAAATAGAGGACTGTGGCTGCAATGCAGAGGATATTTTGATAGGGAATAATATAGGTTTTGCAGTAAAAACCTTATACTTTATGGTTCAGGCAGAAATAATGAACTTGGGTACAGGCTGATGCCAACAGGGATCAAGGAAAGTGGATAATTTCCATAGAGAGTTAGGAGTTCAAATCTATTCGACTTGGTGATGTGTTGGGGTAATGTAGTATCAGATGATAAATATGGTCCCCAGTCCTAGATGCACTTGTAAAGTGATAGTTCTCTTCAAGAGATCAACCAGTCCAGGGGCTATTAGTATTTTTTTAGTTTATCTTTAGACTCATTAGACTCCTACCCTAAAATCTTGTTATGTAGTAGGCCAGGCACCTGTGTAATGCAGTTCTAAGAAGTGGTCAGCCCATCAGTTCTGTAGTTGCTACACCTGTGAATTCCACCAACCACAAGTTTAAAAAATACAGTGCTCTGTGGAGGTAAAGGAGAACTGATTTGTTCAAAACATGTAAAGACGTTTTCTTGCCATCATTTCCTATATAATTGAACAGTTTACTTTGTATTAGGTATTAAAAATAATCGGGAGATGAATTAGAGTAATCAGGAAGATGTGCATACGTTATATACAGACACTTGCCTATTTATATATGAGGTTCTGTGGATTTTGATATCTGCAAGTGGTCCTGAAACCAATCTCTCACAAATACCAAAGGATGGCTGCATACTTATTTAGTCCTGTGACAGGTTACTCTGTGTGTGTGTGTGCGTGTGTGTGTGCGCATGCATGCATGTGTGCATGTGCATGTGCACATGTGTGCGTGTGCACGCACACACATGCGTACATTTTGCCTGGAACAATAACTTCCTTTCCTTTCTCGTATGTCAGTACACTTTGGCTGCCTCTGCAGTCTGTTGGAGTCTGAGTTAATTTAATCCCACAAAGTACTAAACAATGTCTGGTCTTTGTGGGGCTGTAATTCTACTCCATGGCTTCTACTTTCATTTGCCAACTCGGATGTCTTCATGAGCTAACTGCGCACAGTTGAGTGTTTGAAGTGCTTGCAATTGGAATATTTCATGTCAGGCCTGCTGCCATTCTCTCTCTGCTATTCTCTTTTCAGGATGGCTGGAGCACCTCCAAGTTACTCTTTCGTGGCTTTCCCTCCACGTACTAAGGATGGCCTGGTGGTGTTTGGGAAGAATTCAGCTCGTCCCAGAGATGAAGTGCAGGAGGTTGTGTATTTCCCAGGTGCTGATCATGAGCCTGAAAGCAAGGTGGAGGTGAGTCACGCTTCTGTCCACTCATTCACTTCCTCTCTTGCCTCACTTTTCCTCTAGCCACCTAACTTCTTTTTGGAAGCCTGCACCATTTTGAAATTGTCATGGCATTTATGCTCATTCCCATTTCCATTCAGGTGAGCTCATAGCCTTAAAAAAAAAAAAGAGTACGTGGAAAATTCTATTTTTAGTATGTTTCTTGTTTTATAATTTAGTAAAGTACTTTCATAGTTCCAAAGTTAAATATATAAAACAAGATAGGCTCATAGAAATCTACCTTCTATCCTTGTTTCTTTCAATGTATTTTCTCCAAAAGAAGAACGTGTTTGGAAATTCTTTGTTTAAAAATTTACATGCATTTTAATGAATTACACGCACATGTGCTGCTTTTCTCCAAAAAATTATCAATATTGTATGTGTCATCTATGTCTATATAATTTTCTCCACATCGTTTTTATTTATATTACATGTTATATTTATTAAACTTGTATGTTAGAGATCAAAATATACAGTATGTATTGTAGACGCTAAATATGCTTCATTGCATTGTATTTCACTCTGTAAATGTATCATTGCTTAACTAACCCTATCTGCTGCTGGATATTTTCCTCAGCCTTTTGCTGGGGAAATATGAAGGTGAAATGTGAATAATGTTGAAGTAAATAGTAGCCTTGCACATTTATCACAATGTCCATTCGGTCTTATTTGTTATCATGTTAAAAACTATCCATGAAGCTGGGTGCTGGTGGCTCATGCTTGTAGTCCTAGCTACTCAGGAGGCTGAGAACTGAGGATTGCAGTTCAAAGACAGCCTGGGCAGAAAAGTCTGTGAGACTCTTATTTCTAATAAACCACTCAGGAAAAGCTGGAAGTGGCTCTGTGGCTCAAGTGATAGAGCACTAGCCTTAAGCACACAGAGGTTCAAGGACACTGTGCAGGCCCTGAGTTCAAGCCTTAAGATTGACAAAAATAAAACAAAACAAAACTATCCATGAATTCCTGTTTATTTTTTATTTTTAGTTTTTAATTGTTTGTTACTCCTTCCCTTGCTCTCTCCCAGTCCTGTCTTGAGTGATTTAAAGACATCATTTTTTGTCAGTGTTTCTTGATGATGGCTGAGTCACAATGTAATTAAATAGATAATTTTGCTTAGTGTTTTCAAATTTCCTCCAATGGGTGTTTTACTATCTTGTGTTCTCGCCCACAGTGTATGACAATACCTGTTTCTCCATATTTCTAGAGTGTGTTGTTAGACTTTCAGATATCTATCTTATGCTAGTTTTATCTTCTATTTTTACCAGATTGTTTTATTGGTTGTATAGCTTTTTTGATGTTTTTCACAAATATATATATATATATATATATATAGTTTTATTTTGTTTTTCTATCTCTAATTATTTTTGTGCCTGATTTTTCTGGCCTGTACCTTGGTTAAAGTATAGGTAGTGAATCTTTGCCTTTGCGTCTAAACTGAATGTGGTTCCCATTAGTGCCTCTACGTTAAATAAGTTGCTAGCTCTGGGACTGAGTTTTATTTAGTTTTATCAAATTAAGAGCTCTAAATGAACTATTTTGAGTGTTTTTTTTTAAACAACACTATTCAGAAATAGATATATTTTGTTGGAAGTTTTTTTTCCATTAATAATGGAGTTAATCATTCAACTTTTTTCTCTGGCAAATTGAGACCTGTTTGCATTCATGTAATTTTGTGATATCTTTTGCTGTTGACGTCTAGTTTTATTCCAGTATGATATGACACAATACATTGAGTTATTTCAGTTTTCTTATATTTTCTAAGACTTGTTCTATGTCCTAGAATGTATTCTATTTTGGAGAAATTTCCATGGGCTGCTGAGAAGAATGTGTATTGTGCAGCTACTAGAAGAGATTCTCTGTAGGTGTCTGTCTGTGAAGTGTGGTCTGTGGCATCATGTAATTCAGAGGTTCCTATGTTGATTTTGTTTTGGATAACCTATCTCTTGGTGAGAATGGATTATTAGAGCCTCTCACTATTACTGTGGTTGGTTCTATCAGTGCTGGTAAGTCTAGAAATGTTTGTTTAATAAACCTACATGGATACTCCTGCTTGTTTTCAGGGTCCATTTGCTTGGAAAATCTTTGCCTATCCTTTAACACTAAAGCATACATTTTTCTTTGTCACTGAGATGTGTTTCTTGTAGGCAACACATGGTTTGGGTCTTTTTATTCCAAGTTACCATTCTATGTCTTTTGAATGATGTGTTGAAACATTAATATTGTATTTTCCCATTTTCTATTTAATTTATGTATATAATCTCTTCTATTTTATTTCTGTTATGTTTTCAGAAACGTAAAGAAAATTAGAGAAAGTGCCCATAACCTTCTCACTTTTCCTTCTAAGCTCTCCTTTATCAATATCTTGCATTAATTTGGTAGACTTGCTATAGATTGATAAATCAATATGGATGCAATATTAACTAAAATCTTTCATTTATTCTCTATGAGATTTTTACACCATGTAGTGAGATGTATCCACAATTATAGTGTCATAGAGGAGACTTTTTCTACTCTTAAAGTTCTCTCTACCCCTCATATAGTATTCCTTTTCTCCATTGCCATAGTTTTGACATTTTAGAAAATGTGTAATTGGAATTATATGGTAGATGGCCTTTTCAGATTAGTGGTACCTTTCACTTGTAATTTCTTCCATGTCTTTTCCAAGATATTTCAATGTTTGAATGTACTGCATTCACCTATTGAAGGACATGTTGATTGCATCCAAGCTTTGATAATTATGAATACAGCTGCTGAAAGCATTTGTGCCATTGCCCTGTCTCGTTCTCCTCCTTTCTTGTTTTTTAAATGATGGAGTTGTGTTTAGAGACTATGATTCTCATTGTCTTTTGGCACATGCTTCTGAGTCTGCTCTTTTTTTTCTCTCAGTGATGATAATTGCATTTAATTATTTATTTAGGTGTTTAAGGTCTTGCACTAAGTTTTTACAAGCTGGTGAACACTGAGAACTATAACCACACATTCCCAGATGGTATAAATATATGGCTGAACTAACACTAATACACATCATTATGTTATCAATTACATAATAGGACTAATTATCAAGTATCCAAATATTAAGTTACACAACTCAAAAGGCTTATAAAATATTAGATATCTGCTCAATTTCATTAGCAGAAACCCATTTATTTATTTATTTGCAAGAGAGGCTGGGAAGAGAAAGGGGGGAAACAAAAATAAGATGATAAACAACTTCTAAGTGGAGAAAATACAGTATCAGAAATTTAATGATTAAGAATTTTAGCTAAAACAAAGGATCTATACTTTAAAAATATTTACTAAATTAAAGCGCATACTCTACATGTTCTGCACAAGACAAAGGCAACATTGTACTAAAAATAATCAATAGCTCCCTCCCATATTTTCAGGCTCTCTCTGTGAAGCTGCACCTCAGAGTGCCAACATTAAATTAACTATAAGGCTTTTATGTCTGGAGACATTAGTAAAGACATGTGCTTCTGTAATAATGAAGACTTTCAAAATGGAGTTTTCCCATAACAGCATAGAGACATATAGAAAGACATTAAATAATGACCTTAAGACTTGGTAGAAAAAAAAATCAATGGTTACACAAACCTGACATATGAATGTGGGAGATGTTAACATAAAATGGGTAGGCAAATAGCCAGTTTGAAATGTTTGAAATGACTGAAGGAATAAATCATATAGGTCTTGAGTTTCTGGAATTTTGGTTCTAAATGGTATTAAAAATATACAAGTATTGTGCTGGATATTTTGGCACCTAATGTTTCTAAATTTTTTATATATTGATAAAGATTCTGGCATAGGAATATAGATATGTATATATATGCACATATATATATGCTTGTATATATGCACATATATATGTATATATGTGTATATATAATATATATACACATATATACATATATACACATATATACATATCTATATATATGTATATATCTATATCTATATATCTATATCTATATCTATCTATCTATCTATCTATCTATCTATCTATCTATCTATCTATCTATCTATCTATCTATCTATATATATTGGTTGGTTTTCTTGAACTCTGGGCCTGGGTGCTGTCCCTTAGCCCTTCAGCTCAAGGCTAGTGCTCTACTACTTGAGCCACAATGCCACTTCTGGTTTTCTAGTGGTTATTTGGAGATAAGAGTCTTATGGACTTTCTTGCCTGGGCTGGCTTTGAACTGCAATCCTCAGATCTCAGCCTCCTGAATAGCTAGGATTACAGGCATGAGCCACTGGTACCTGGCAGCATGGTAATCTACTTAAAAATGTAACTCAATGATTTTTAGGAAAGGCCAATTAATATAAGTGATGAGCACATTTTAAATGCTCGACAGCAAGAATTTTGTTTTTTCTTTTTACTAAGTGTCCAACTAGGTCAAGCAAAACCCAAACAGCAATAGTGTCAAGCTCGCAGCCTGAAAAACTGCCTTTCAATATTCCTATGGAAGTTTTACTAGACTCATTCATCAAACCAATATTGTTATGGCAAATTAGGTTCCACTTCTGAAGCAATGGCACCAGGCACCCAGTTTTATTGAATGCAATAGTTGTTTCTGTGAACATTGGCATCTTTAAAGATTAGCCGCATTTTAGGTTGGTACTTTTCCAAATACAGAAGCTGCTTGCTGTTAAAGGCTCCACGCCGCTTTTGTCTTATGAACTGTACTGCATTTTCATATTTCATTCCACCTTCAATTAGTGCCGGGGCAACAAGCACTGGAGCTCTCCCAAGGCCTGCAACACAATACACAGCAATACAGCAACCAGGTTCTTCACAAATTTTTATTTTTATAAGACTTAACCAGTCATTAACAATCTGGTTGGAGGGTAACACACCACCATCAAAAGGCAATTGAGAACATGGATGCCTTCTTTCTCCACCAGAGTAGTGTCCTAAGTTGCTTCACATATTCTTACGATTGTGGTAACTCCATACTTCTTAAGTT